CCAAAAGAATATTCTAATCCATATTTCTTACACCACAGTATCCAAAATTCAGACAACTATTGCTAGACATGCAACTGGGAAAATATAATGTGGTTCTCATGATCATGCTATATCATTAACATAGACAAGATATGGTTGTGTCTTTTTCTTTTGTTGTGTACTGGGGATTGAACTCAGTGGCACTTGGCCACTGAGCCACATCCCCACCCTGCTTTGTATTTTATTTAGAGAATAGGGTCTCACTGAGTTACTTAGCACTTGGCTTTTGCTGAGGCTGATATTGAACTCAGGATCCTCCTATCTCAGCCTCCCGAGCCTCTGGGATTACAGGCGTGTGCCATTGTGTCCGGCATATTTGTGTCTTTTCACAGGCTACAATATTTTCATCAGTGGCAGTTCACTGAATACGTGTGTGGCACCTTGTAGTGGTAGTGGGCAATCACAAGATCAGGTTCTTTTATTCCAATCTTAATATTCCAATGTCTGTAACGCTCAAGTCACACATCACACATTACATATACATATAAATATAAATAAATATATATGTATATAAATATAAATAAATATGTATATGTATATATATATTAATCAATGAAATTAAATTTTCATGAGGTTGAAGTGTGAAAGACTTTCAAAACTTAGGATAAAACATGATCCAATTTATTTATGTGTACAATATTATACTGAATATAAAACCTAACAGAGATATTTTATAAAAATAAACACATGAAAATAGATGCAAAAAAACTCCAACAAAATATTAGCAAATTAAATATAGCAATAAACAAAAGGAATAATAGATAAATACCAAGTAAGGATTACTCCCAGTAATGCAAAATTGATTTAACATTAAAAAATCAAGTCAGTGTAGTTCAACATAATGATTAACTCAGTAGATTTGATAAAAATGCAACATGAATTTACAATTTCTAAAACATCTATCAGTTGAGAATAGAAGAAAACTTCCACAATATCATAAAAAGCATTTATGAAAACCATATGGTTGTTATCATACTAGATGGGGAAATATTTCATGGCTTCCTTCTAAGATTGGGTACAAAGGAAGTATATATGTAAATATACATATATATGATATAATATAAAATATATATACATATATATGAGATATAATTATTTAAATACAAAATCCTAAGAAATCCAAAAAGTTACCACTAGAAATAATGAAGTAAGAGAAAGCACAGAGTACAAAAATTAGTTGTACTTCCAGTTAGCAGCAACAAATAATTAGAAAATAATTTGGGAGTGGGTACCTGGCATTGAACCCCAGAGTGCTTTACCACTCAGCCACATCCCCAACCCCTTGTTAATTTTTTTTTTATTTTGAGACAATCTCACTAAGTTGATTAGGGTCTGGCTAAATTACTAAGGCTGGCCTCAAACTTGGAATTCTCCTGCCTCAACTTCCTATGTTGCTAGGATTATAGGCATGTACCACCACACCTGATAGAAAATAAGTTTTAAGGCCAGAAGTTCAACTCAGGGGTAGAGAACTTTCCCAGCATGTATGAGGTTTTGTCACAAGCAGTGCCAAAAAATAATAACTAAAAGTTTATTTACTGTACTACTATAGTACATACTATTTTTAGAATTAAGTTTAATAAATGTATATAAGACTTCAAATCTGAATATTACAAAATATTGTTCATAGAAATTAAAAAACATCTACAATGGAGAAACATTCTGTGTTCATGGTTTAGAAGAACGATATGTTTAAGAGATTGATTCTCTCAAAAATTGATCTGTACATGAAGTATAATTTGATTTCATATCCCAATAGCTTTTGGGTAGAAATTGACAAGTTGATTTGAGAATTGTGTGTTTGTGTGGTACTGGGGATTGAACCCAGCGTATTTTACCACTGAGCTACATCCCGTCTTTTTTTTTTTTTTTTTGAGAAAAATTCTTCCTAAGTTGCTGAGGCTGTCTTGGAACTTGCCATATTCCTGTATCAGCCTTCTGAATTCTGGGGATTATTGTGCATGGCAATGATTTGATATCTAATATAAAATGAAATTACTAGAATGGTCAAAACCATTTTAGAAATGGTGAACTTAATTATTGGTTTTCATATCTTAACTATAAAATTAGCAATGAAGACTGCAATATTGCCATAAGGAAATAAACTAGAGAATCTGGAAGTTCTGTATATATGTTTAATTGATTTTTGCTTAAAGATGCCAAGGCAATTTAATGAGAAAAGGACTGTCTTTTCAACAGCTGAAAGAACTACCACTTTAGAAAACTATTTATCACTAATATTAAATATGCTTATTCTGTGGTCCTCACCTTCCTGTAAAAATGTGGCCAGCAAAGAAAATTGTGTTTGTTTTCTCTTCTTTCTGCCTCATTTTCCTTTCCTTTTTACTCCTACTTCATTTAGGCTTTCCATTCAAGTTTTAGCATGCAGCAAGTTTTTCCAGTTTCTCTTTTCTAATGGTTCCAAGCAGAAGATAACTGATATGAGTGACTCACAAGAGCTAGTCCTCAGAAAGTGTTTTGATTTGGGATCACACATGTTTTTGAAGCCATAAGGACTCATTCCATCTCTAGTGCTATGAGGAATGTCAACATAAATAAATAAATAAATAAACAAACAAACAAAGGAAGAAGAAGGGCAGTAATAATCATAAAGCTTTCACTTTTGGCTAAGTAAAATGAAGTGCAGGTTAAAAAAAAAACTTTTGGAGGTGAAGTATTTGTTACATCGGATTGATGTAGATACATTTGCAATTATCAAGTTGTAGGAGCTGCCAAAAAAGAAGTAAATTCAGATTTGATGGGTTTTCCATAGCAAAGGAATCATAGTCAAACAAATATATAATCAGGGTCCACACATTTAGCAGTTGGTGGGACTCACATTGATTTGATTTTCTGACTTTGTAATACGAGCCAATTCATGGTGATATCTGAAAGCATCTGAAACTGCATCCCCCAAAATAATAAATAATATAATATTCCAAAGCAATTGAAAAAATTCAAATCATCATGAAAGGCTTAAAATGTGTAGAAATGCTATTCTCTAGAGGTTTCCTAATCAATTCATCTGTTTGATGTTTGTACAAAACAATTGGATCAGGGTAGATGGGGAGAAATCTAAAACTTTAACCAGTTTTAACTCTAATCATTGCTTCTGTGTCTGATTTTAAGAACTGTAAGGTCTGAGATTTTATTCCATTTGCAAATAAATGTTAGCCTGCCAATTTCAAGGATCTTGGCAGGAAATGTGAGATTCTTGGTTTAGACAAAAATAACAGTAGCTAGAATATCAACATTGCACCAGATCCCCAAGCTAAGGTCACAAATGCTTATAGGAAGAGGGTCAGGTAATTTCTGCATACTAAATGGGATGTGTTACAAGAGAGGATACTCAAGCTTAGGTACACTGAATCTTTTATAATAGTTGGTAAGCTTGATTGGCCTTTGCCTCAATGGAAGATATTATCTTTTTAATCTGTACTAGAAAGAAAATTACTCTTTATTCTGAAGGGAGAGATGCTACCTCTATTTTCCAAGGCTGTTTACTATACAAACATGCTGAAAAACTGTCTTGATGGAACAAAGGAAGTTAGAGACTGCTTACAAGACATGAAGAAATTTGGGGCATCCATTGAAGAATGACTCCAAATAGCAGATCTATTATTTTTGCTTATGCACATTAACCTAGTCACTGTCATTGGTCTGCTTGACATCAAATTAATGATCTCTTTAGTGTGGCAGATCAAATACTATTTGCCTTTACATGGCTATGTTACTTTTCCTAATCTCTTATAAAACAGTCTTCAGTTATCTTGACTATGCTGATCACTTTCATATTCTGCAGAATGTCATGCTTGTCTCTTCTATAGATAGAATTGTGATTTGTGTCTTTATCAATTTTGTGTTGCTTTAACAGAATATCCAGAACTTGGTAATGTGAAAAGGAAAGAAGTTTATTTGACTTAAATTCTGTTGTAAACACATGAGGTCTCTGTCTAAAGAGAAGCTCCTTTGCTGGCAATATGGTGGAGAAGGACAAAGGAAAATGGCCTCATGCAGAAAGTGCATATATATAAGGAAGGACGCAAGATACTACATAGAGCCAGGCTTTTAACAACTCACTCTTATAGGAATAAAACCAGTCCTGTGAGATCTGACTCACTTCTGAGATGAGATATCATTAATCCATTCATGAAGGTAGATCCCCTACTACCTAATTATCCTCTACTAGGTCCCATATCTTAAAGCTTCTATTGCCACAATGGAGACCAAGCTTTCCAGCACATTAACCTTTGGGAAATAAATTGTATTCAAATCATAGTACCTTGTAATCAAGGGGTGACAAGTACCTTCAGTGTTCTAGTAAGACATAAATATGTCCCATTATATTTCCAGAGTAATGATCTGGGGCATATTGAGTTATTTCTTATAAATCAATGGCTCTTGATTAGGGATTATCTTATCTCAAAGAGACATTTGGCACCTTCTAGAGATGTTTTCAGGTGTTTAAAACAGCCAGAAGGGTGATGGCATCAAGTGGTAGAGGCTAGAGAAGCAATTAAACATCCTACAATGCATGAGGTAGTCCCTCCAAGAATTATCCAACCCAAATTCTTAGAAAAGATTTTAAAAACTTGCTTTTAAGCAGTATATATGATGTTATCTCTTGGAAGTTCTACACAATGTAAAGTACAGTACACTTGGGCCTGTTTGCATTTTGTAGGTCATGTTCACAGCAATTGATAATACTGCTTTGATCCTTCAATTGAGTGACTTAAAGGCTGCATGATTTGAATGTGGCCTTGCACAAAAGAGGGTTTTATGTAGATTTATGTTGCAGTGAAGGCTACTCTGCCATTTGGGACATTCATATGGCTCCAGTTTACCCTTGTTCCTGGCCCTGGTACTTGTCTTCTTTCCAGGGCACAGAGGTTTTAGCCATAGTTCTTACCATGCCCATGGTGATAAAGGCCTCAACATTTCTGCTTGTCCCACCAACACAGATGAAGGACCCCCTATGTAAGATACTGACTAACATAAGGAGACCACTTTGAAATGGCTTTTAAATAAAATGAGTTGAAAAGATTCCAACTTCCCTCCCGGACACTTTAAAGGTAAGCAGGGTGATAACACAGCCTGAAAATGAAGGGGAGTAAAGTGCCATGGGGCAGACCAGTGAGAAACAAGAGATGAGAAGAATGCAGTGGAGAATCTTATGCTTCCTACCACAGGTTGAGCTGAGGTACAGTCTAGATTAGCACTGCAGGACTCAGCATTTGACTGTTTTCCTATGAATGTGTAATATTCCAGCACAAGAGCATATCACATTGCAATTGCTTTCCCTTATTCATACCTCACTCTTTTTCTTCCTGTGCTCTTTTGTCCTCCTCAATGGAGCATTGGTATGTAGTTTTGCCTCAGGTACCAGAAAATGAGAGAACAATGAAATATAGTTTGTGAGGAGATTGTATGGATGAATTGAAGTTACATTATGGAGAATCTTCAATGTCAAACTAAAGATTAAAACTATGCTTAGGTTCCAAGACTGTAGGATTCTATATTCACACAGAGTGGCAGGAATTGAACTCTACATCAATAAAGTGACTCAGTGCCTGTCCAGGCATTCATTAGCTAATTAAACTGGGGAACAAATATTGCTGATTCTTTCTCTTCACATAATCCCTATGAATCTTTCACTTAATTGCAGGGGCTGCACTCTCTCCTACCCATAACTCTTCTGTTAGGAGTTGGGGAGAAAAGGTCTGCCAGAGATAAACCAAGGCTTCTGTGGGAAATTGGTTAGCAAGAAAATCTGTAGTAACCACAGCAAGAAAATTTCACTTACTTACCTTTCCTTTCCTTAACAGAGGGTCTGTTTGATACTCAGGAAATTTAAGAACCTCCAAAAAGACCTTCTGTTCTATGACCATTATCAATGTCTCTATACCTGAGGCAGTTTTTGAAACCACCATGGAGTCTGGTGAGTATTGTGTTTCTGACTTACATGTTTTTGAGGAGAAATAAAGACATAACTTATAAAATAGATGATCAGTCAATCAATGTGAAAATTGCAAAATGTGTTTGGATTCAACCATCACTATATCTAATAGAAATGATCAAATCTGCAAGCTGGTTAAATATATCTTTCAATTTCACTTGTGATTTTTATGGTTTTAAGAAATGTAGTCTTTATGACTTAGGATGAGGGAAAAGAGAAATAATATAAAAATAGCTAGTTTTGGATGAATTTCTGTACAATAGAGTTTTGGGGTTAAAAAAAGAGATGCAAGTATTGTTTGAAGGGAGAATCATATTTTGAATTGTTTGTACAAAGAAAATGCAAATCTCTGCAAGTACAGGCATGGTTCAGGCTGCCTTTTCATAATAGAAGTTTACATCTATAAAAGAAATCTACCTTAGTAAAATAAATATCTAGAGGATGTAAATAGGCTTTAAAAAATCTTACATGTCCCTTTCTGCCTAAGATCTTTTCACAGAAAGAAGAGATTGGGGTTTGATACCTGACTGAGAGATTACCAAGAGATTGCAGCAAGTGGCTGTTTCCTGGAAGACTTTGTCTGCAAAACAAGGCAAGCTCTGCTGGCTGCACTCACTCATCTCAACCCTCCATCGTCTGCAACACCTCCTTTACTCCTAGAAGTCCAAGGCCCTATCCTTTTGTTTGGCTCTATGTAAGCTTCCACTGTCTAAGCATCCTTTGAGTCTCATGTTGTTCGTGTGTAGTTTCTGTATTTAGTACATCAATAAATTTGTCTGGTTTCTTCACTATTAATCCACATATTGTGTTCATTTATATATTAAAACTATTGAACCTTTAACGAAAAAGAACAAATTTAAAGCTTTGCTGCAACATTCACGTGGTATAGAGGTGTCTAATTGCTTTCTGCAGAAGCACACCCTCAGACAGTTTATTCAGGACGAAGTACCAGGAAAGAATGGGGAGAGTAGAAGAACCATTATCAAACTATTTACCACTGTAAATAAACTAGTAGAGAACCATTATCAAACTATTTACCACTGTGGGCAACTGGAGACAGCTCAAGGTAACAGTGAGCAACATACTTCAGAGTTGTCCCAATCAAGGTAGAGGCAGCCAGCAAATTTATTTTCCAAGTCCTTGTCTTTTATTGGATGAAGTCTTACTCTCCTAAATTTGCTTTTAAAGTCATTAGCAAAGTTTGTCTTCTGTAATACATCTTTCCCAGGTGAAGGACTGGTACAAAACTGGAACTAAACAAATGTGTCTCCTCACCTGATTCTATGTGTGGCCAAACAGAAAACTACAACCCCAAATAGCAGGAGCAAGGCTCAAAATCATAGGTACTCCATGGACATTTGTTCATTATGCTGTCAACCTGAAACATGAGAAAATACACTGGTAAAGGAAGCACAAGATAAGGAAATTGGTACTCCAAAAAATGCCATAACATCCATGAGTAGTGCGCCACACAGAATGAAGGCATTCTGAATTCCAGTGATGGGCTCTGTTAGGTGCCTGGTCAGCCATGAATGACTGCACAGGGAAAGGACAATGAAGAACAACTGAAAACCACAGGGAGTCTTTTCTGACAAGCAAACATCTTGAAGATGTGGCTTGGTGTGTTAAAATATTTCCCAACCATAATTACATTCCCTTAAGGAAAATGTCAAAATCATGTCACGCCTACCAGGTAGCCTGGACCCTGCCTTATCACGGCAATTATGTCACGACTCCCAAACACTTGGTCAACCAAAGCATCAAGTCCCTCACACAGAAAGCTTGCTGAAGGCTATACAAAGGTTAATAAACTGCTTAATGGGACAGGAAATTGAGGAAAAATGAGGGAGACTCAATTTCATTAAAATCTTCAACTCTGTGAGCAACATACCATCCTCTCTTGGAGGTAGTCCATGCAATTTCTATTCTCACTCAAAAGTCAAAATTTGTATCTAAGTGGGACTCTCTGGAAACTTCCCTGGAACCCCCAATAAAACTGGAGGGCAGGGGAGGCATACTGTCCTTCCCTTCTCTGAGAAGATCTACTCTCTCCCTTGACAGTGTCCCATTTTCCCTTTTCCTATCCCTTTAATAAACTCATACCTGCTTTTCTGAGTGACATAGATGAAATCTTTCTGACATGATTGCAAGAACAAGTGAAAAGGAGACTTTGGCAGCTGCCTCAGCTTTGTGGCAGGCTTTTGCCCTGTAACACCCTCCTTCTAACATGGAACACAACTTTTTTAATAACTTTACAACACTGCACAATACTTAGCTCACTGATCAGTAAGTGGTTGGAGATAAAAAGTTACTTAAGAATTGACTATGAATTAAAACTTTTTTTTTGTACTTGTAGATGTACCCAATACCTTTATGTATTTATCTTTATGTGGTGCTGAGGATCAAACCCAGGGCCTCATACATACTAGGCAAGCGCACTACCACTGGCCCATAACCCCAGCCTCTGAATATGAAATTTTTTGGAAAGGTAATATTTTCCTCAACACTACTCCCCAAATTCCTTATCTTAAATTCTTCCTTGCCAAAGCTCTCTCTTCATCTGTCTGATGGAGATGTCTCATTGCAAAGCCATGAGTGGAGCTAAACCTCAGAAGCCAACAAAATTGATTCTTCCACCTTCCAGGGATCTTTTCCTCTCAACCCCTACCTCTTAGCAAAGCTTTCAGTAGTGCCAATAAATCTGAGTCTATCCTATTATAGTAGTTAATGGACTAACAAACAGCTGAGATTAAAAGTCATACCCAGTCAGGAGTAACAAATTATACAACTCAGCGTAAAAGCTCTATAAATATGGACTCCATCTAATGGTTTCTGTCAGAGAAAGAAATCTCATTGTGATAAAGGCAATTTCTACCTCCAGCACTGCTCTTCTAACTGGGGTTCTTCAGATGTATTAGTATTACCAGAATTTAATTAATAATACTCATCTGAATTGTTCAATAAATAACTTCACCTATTGCTCAATGTAGTGATGACATTGCAGATTTTTCATAGTGAAACCTTGAAAAACATTGTGGTGAGAAGCAAAATGAAATCTGTGGAAAAACATGGACGTGCGCCTGAGGAACTTCCGGATCTGGTGACCTAAACAGGGATGTGCACCTGTCAATCTTCCAGATCCTGGGGCTTAAACATGGACGTGTGCCTGAGGAACTTCCGGATCTGGGGGCCTAAACATGGAAGCCTGAGGAACTTCCAAATCCTAGAGTCTCAACATGGACATGCACCAAAGGAACTTCCGGATCCTAGAGCCTAAACATGGATGTGCAACTGAGGAACTTCCGGATCCGGGGGCCCAAACATGGAGGACTGAGGCATTTCTGGATCCAGCACCTAAACATGGATGCCTGAGGAACTTCCAGACCCCCGGGCTTAAACATGGACATGCACCTGAGGAACTTCCAAATCTGGGGGCTTAAACATGGACGTGCACCTGAGGAACTTCTGAATCCGTGGGCCTAACTATGGACGCCTGAGGAACTTCCGGATCTGGGGGCCTAAACATGAACGTGCATCTGAGGCACTTCCCATGCTAAGGCCTAAATATAGACGTGCGCCCAAGGAGCTTCCAGATTCTAAAGCCTAAACATGGACGTTCCCTGGAACTTCTGGTTCCTTGTGCCTATAAAGGGCAGGGGGTGACTCTCAGAAGGGAAGTGGCCCATGAAGGGGAGCCGAGTATGGGGCCTGTTGGGAGACAGACTGAGCTGTCGTACCCTGAACTTGAATGTGACTGTGGTCTCACTTCACGGCCTTCTGTTATGCTCGAATTTGGGACCCCCAAAAGACCACCAGAGACCAAGATCAATGTAAACAGCAAAGAGGTGTTTATTGTGAGCTAGCTAGGTCCTCCACACGTACACAGCAACTGGTGATACTGAGAGGCCACGAGCCCAGGGTTTGCAGCAGTTTTATACATTCTTTGGAGAAGGCAGGGACCCCCACATACATCACAGCATCTCTTAGCAAATCATCACACACCACAGGAAAACCATATAACAACTCTAAAACATGATTATCACATTCATTGGTGGGAACATGTTGGGTAGGGGTGATTGGTTACTACAAGAGGTGGATTCATTGGAACTGATTGGTTTAGGCCAAGAGTTCGTGCTGAACTACATGGTTTCCCAACAGGTTATCAACCACCATAAACTACTGGGAGGGTCATCTGGCATCCCAGGTATTTCCCTGTCTCATGCTGATTGGTGGCTGCTAGGAGGTTGCTATGGGTCCCCACCTAGCCTGACTGAGTCAGGGACACCTGGCACAGCAGATCTCTCCTGTTATTTGTAGATAAACAACTTAGCCGGGTGGGAATGTGCCTAGGAGTGCTCTGTGGGTCTTTCCAAGGACAAAGGTGATGTCTTCCTTGGACAGGCTTTGCTCTGAGGTAGAGGCTAGTTTTTCACTTCCAGGCGGTGTGTCACTTCCTCCCCTTCCAGGCAGTGCTGGGGAGGAAGTGAGACCAGGAGCAGGGGTCAGGCCCTGAGGAGGGACACCATCTTTCTCCTCGCTTAGCCAGGGGCCCGGCCTGGCTAGGGACGGGGACATCTTGTGACACTGGCTGCCTCCTGCATCCCTGCCCCAGGACCTCAGGGTCCACAGGCGGGGACAATTGTTGATTCTCCCCTGGCCGCTGACCCTCAGCCCCCGGGATCTGCCCAAGGAGAGCTCTGTCTCTCAGAGGGTCAGGGGGTCCCTGTGACCTGTTGCTCCTTACCTACCGTCATCCTGGGCAAGCACAGGTCAGGACACCAGACGCTACTGAGAGTGACATCTTCTGGATGGGTGGCTGGGGACTTTGCCTCTGTCCCCAGGCCTTGGACACCAGATGATCCCCCCGCAAGAGACAGAAAATAACCCCACACTGCCAAAGACTTATTTTTAAGCTTTGAATTCTGAAATTTTCCTGCCGCCACCTTCTTTGTGAAGCCAGTTTTTCAACAGAGACAATATTCTTTGCGGGGGGGGGGCACCTTGGAATCAATCAAACCAAGCTGACATATCTGTTCCTCCAAGAGAAATCTGGATTGGAAGGAGAACAGCCATTCTCAACTGGCGAAATAATGAAATTCCCTTGTCTTTATTTTGTGTAAGCAAAATAAATAATCTGATGTTAATCATCAAATTATTTTTGATGAGTGCTTGGCTCATAGGAAAACTGATTCTGTTTTGTGCAATGAAGTGTTACCTGATTTTAAAATTTAAAATGAAGCCAATTAGGATTGTTAAATTATACTGTCATAATTCTGTTCTTTGGCAGCAGAAATAAATAAACCTTTAAAAAAAAGAGATTTGTGGAGGGCAAGGTAGCATTGTGAATCCATCAGGATTGAGAAAAATTGCATTCTGTGGAGCCAAATTTGCTTGAACAGCTGTATTGTTTTTCACTTCATTCTTTAGGCCACCAGTCAGACCAAGACAAAAAGAAAATTTCTTCTTTTCCTTTGATAAGGCTTATATGAACTCTTGAATCTATTTGTCCATCTAGAAAGATAACTAGAACCCACCTAGAGAAGAGGAAATGACTGTTAGTCAAAAGAGACCAAGGTGACTTATCATGGTTAGGGCAGGAAGTCACTCCTATAAATGAAAGAAAAGAAAGTAACAGAATGAAATGTACACCAAAATAGATTTGCAGAGAAAAATGAATAATCATACAAAGTTAAACAAAGCAGTGACTTTTTAAGTAATTCAATTCACGAACTTTTCACAATGTTACTGTGAATCTAATATTGTGGTAGGTACTTTGGTGAGTGTTAAAATTTATT